GTGGGCAGGCTTCGGGCAGCCCATGGGCCACGGGCCAATTCTACATTCCTATCAATGTGCATGTTAACATGTCAATGTGAATATTCACATTATCAATGGGCTGGGCCGGGCCTACCCCAGGTCGCGGGTAAGCTTCGGGCAACGGACAAATTTTACACTTCTATCAATGTTAATAGTAACATGTCAATGTGAATATTCACAATGTCACGGGTTGGGCTGCGGTCAGGCTTCGGGCCTCGGGCCGCCCACGGGCTGCGAGCCAATTTTACACTCTTATCAATGTGAATGTTAACATGTCAATGTGAATATTCACATTGTCAACGAACCGGGTCGGGCCCGCCTTGGGCTGCTGGCCAATTTTATACTCTTATCAATATGAATGTTAACATGTCAATGTGAATATTCACATTGTTAACAGGCTGGACCGGGCCCTCCCCGGGTCGCCCACGGGCCGTGGGCAGGTTTCGCGCAGCCACGGGACGCGGGTTAATTTTACATTCCTATCAATGTGAATGTTAGCATGTCAATGTGAATATTCATATTGTTAACGGTCCGGCCAGGCCCGCCCCAGGTCGCGGGGGGGCTTTTGGCCGCCCATGAGCCGTGGGCCAATTTTATACTCTTATCAATGTGAATGTTAACATGTCAATGTAAATATTTACATTGTTAACGGGCCGGACCGAGCCCGCCCCGGGCTGCCATGGGCCGCCGGCGGGTTTCGTTCCGTCACGGGACGCGGGCCAATTTTACACTCCTATTAATGTGAATTCTAACATGTCAATGTAAATATTCACATTGTCAACGGGTCGGGCCCGCCCCCGCTCGCGGGTGGGTTTCGGGCCGCCCAGGGGCCAATTTTACATTCCTACCAATGTGAATTTTAAAATATGAATATTCACATCATAAAATTGCTAACCGTTCAAAAAATATTTATAAGGGTATCAAAATTAAATAGAAGGGCATAAGTGTCCAAGAAAATAGTGTAAATCAAGAAAAAGGACTTTATGGAATAAAACTATATATACATGGGACTAAATGGGTTAAAAAATTCTTTTTTGGACTTCTTGGGTTAAAACACTTCTAAACGAGATTTATCAATAAAAATCCCTTGTCAATATAGTAATTTTTTCACGTTTTGTAAAGTCTAAAAATTATAATTTGTCTTATGTTATAAGATTTACGTAAAAATGAATTAGGATTCACTTGTGATATTAAATTTGGGGTTAACATTATATTTACGCCGACTTGTCATTCTCCTAATCATAAAAAATTGTCTTGTTCTGTTCCTAAGTCATATGAATCATTTGACCTATCTATTTATTAAATTAGTAAATAAATATTTATAAATATTTTTTTATAATAAAAATAAGAAATATGGACTTATTTTATGCAAACTTATTAAAAAGTTTGAACTATAGTTTAAAAAAAAACTATAGATTTATGTTTAAAACTATTAAATGAATAGTTACATATATTTATGTATAAAAAAATTATTTAAGATACAGCCACCCTAAATTGTAGGTCATATTATAGTTCTAATAAATTTAAATTTTATGTTTAAATTATATCATAGTTTGTCAGTTCGTGACTAATATGAGCTAATTTGAGAGTTCTTATATTGGATTAAATACTAAAAAGTAGCCAATAAAACTTAGTTCAAGTCAATTTTTTTTGCTAATAATTCTTGATTTAAGTCTAGTTTTTAGAGAATCGATTAGTTCATATCCAATTCATGAGTTAGTAGACCTACCTATTTATTTAATTTTTAATTAGTAAATATATATATTTTAAAAAAATTATAACAAAAATAGGAAATATGTACCTATTTGTTTGATATATTTATTAATAATTTCAAAATTAATTAAGAAATTATGCACTTATTCTTAAAATGATAAATTACATTGGTAATCCCTATATTTTAACTCTTGTTTTATTTTTGTCCTTTCAATTTTAATTTACTCAATTTTGACCATAAATTTATAATTTTGTCTCAATTTGGTCTAATTGTTATAATTGTTAGTATTTTATTTATTTATTTATTTTATATTGAAATTACACACATGAGTAACATCTGTTATACTTTTATAGACAAAATTATAAACTTGTTCAACTCAATAAGTTAATCTCAACCAACTCAATAACTATTTTCTTTCAAAAATGTTAACTAACATTATCAATTGGACTAAATTAATACAAAATCTAAAATTATGGGTAAAAATCAAACTAATTGAAATTACAGAGACCAAATTGACATAAGAGACAAAATGCGGGGACTATCGACATAATTTACCTTTCTTAAAATATGTCTAATATTGTTTGCATCAATATTAAGATACATTTATATCTGAAAAAACTATTTAAGACCAGATTAGGCTAAAACCTGAATAAAAAATTATTGGCTTATTAAAAATATTAAATAATTATAAATTCAAATTTGATCAATTTTTCATTAAATTTTTTTCATAGAATTAGGTTGTTTGTTAATTTTAATTTATAGTTCCAATTTTTTCCTTATATTTTTTAAAAATATTTTAAAATTATATATAATTATAATTTCTTTTGAAATTTCCTTTTCAATCTCAAATTAGTTATAACTTGAATTTGGTTAAATTTATTTTTGACTTCTCATCTACAAAAACTAACAATAAACATAAATTAATTTTTTTAACATTGTAAAAAGGTAAATAAAAAAATATATTATCAATAATAATAATAACAAAACATATTTTTATTTATCATGTAACGTCTCACCATTGCATTGATAATAGGCATTAATAATAAAATTCATTACGATAATAGAACAATAATATATCAAATGATAAGTAACATGTGATCACAATAATTTTTGATATTTATACAAAAGTATCCAAAACTATATATAAAAAACAATATATGATCCATGTTCAATTTTTATATGGTAAAATTTGCACTTAATCTCAACCACACATTAGTTTTCTAAATCAATTCATCAACCAAACTATCTACTATTTTGTTAATATTCACCTTTTCAAAATCCACCCAAACAATGCTCTGTCTGAGCTCATCATCACCCTTGTTGTTGCCTTACTCACCACCTACCCTAACCATTATTCAATTTCGGTGTAGTTTTTTTTATCTTTGTAAATATAAAAAGATAATGTTGTGGAAATACAAAGGTACCGTTAGAGTTTCAAAGAGTTAAAAATGAAAAATAAAAAAATGCGTGATTTTAAGTTTTCTTATTCCATATATGGGTGTTAAAAAAAAAATTCAAATCAACTCCCAAAACAAAGATAATTAAGAGATATATATATTTATTATCAATTTAGTTGGAAACAAATACATTAGAAAAAAAAAGTCATATCGAGAAAAAAAAAATACTCACACAAAAATATAAATTTAAAAAAAAAAAAATTCACAAACAAACAAACAAATTTGAAATAAGTTTAGACTATTGGCAAAGAGAGAGAAGAACCATCATTACATTTGGGGAGGAGTTGGCCGGGTTTGAAAAAAAAATCAAATATTGAGTATTTTAAAGAGAGAATTGTATTGAATTTTTAATTTGATTGCCTTTTTAAAATTTTAGATTTATATTATTTTCCGAAAAAGTGAGAAAGGGATGAAGGTGGCTTACCATATTATTTTGAATTTTGAAATTCAAAATCATAGATAATTAGTGTCTTTATTTTTTTATTTAAATTATTTTGATCAACATTATTTTTGGTTAACCGAGTGAGGGTGACTTATTATATTGTTTTGAATTTTAAAATTCAAAATTGTAGATAATTAAAACTTTTTTTTGTTTTTGGATTTTGACTTAAGGAACTAACCAATAGATTTATTTTATTTTAATTTAATTTCTTTAAAAATTAACGAAGTAACAAAATTAGTTTGAAAATTTAAAGCTTCCATAATTTATTTTTAAAAAGACCGTTTTCCTTATATATAGATTAGTATAATTCTAACTATTATACATGAGAACAGGTCTAACTCGGGATAACTCAAAGTGGAAAGTCAATAGAGCATTATAACCTCTATGTACATCAAAAGTGCTACGTGTTTCCCCTGTTACAATTGTTCTTATACCCTAGATTTCTTTACATAATAATTCTCATTGAAGAAAAAAACCAAGAGTGCAATTGATTACATCTCATAACTTCTAAAACCCATCATGCCCTTTTCCAATTAATCAACTAAAATCAATCAATTTTACATGTTAACTAATAGAATATACAGAAATTCAAAACTAATCTTCTTTTCTCCCCTACTCTCCCCACCTCAATAGCACTAATAGAATATGCCATCACATTGTTGTTAGACAGTGGAGCTGCAGCTAAAGAGATTGTTTCACTCAAGTTACTCTATCTATTTTTTCTTTTTTGTGATTGGTTCTATGCTAGGAGTAGTGCTACGGACTTGAAATTCGTAAAATAATCATAGCCACAGACATTAAGAGCAGTGCTACAAATATACTAAATTTTATCCAGAAAAATAATATGGGGCAAATTACAAACACCCCTCGAGATTTGGTGAAAATACAGATTCCTTCTTGAGGTTTGAGAAATTACATCTCGCTCACTGAAGTTTATATTTTTATAACAAATTGCCCCCTGAGGTTTTTATTTTCATACAGATTCCCCCATAATTTTTTCTAATTTGTTATGAAAATTTGACTTTCAGGAGGTAATTTGTAATTTCTTAAACCTCAAGAGGGAATCTATATTTTTACCAAATTTTGAGAGGAGTGTTTGTAATTTGCCCAATAATATGTGATCTAGATTCATTCTAGACACCTACAATAGATTTGGACCACATAAATTTCGGAGCAAGAATTGTGAGTCGTGCTGTTCTAATTAGAGCCAATTGAATTGTGAGTCGTGCTGTTCTAATTAGAGCCAATTGAGTTGTTCCCATTCCCAAAGAGGTTCTTGGCCACCAACCGTCCCTAAATTGGCCCGTGGGAGTTCAAAAGGGTCTTCCCCTGAGTACGAACTCTCAGGTGAGCTTGTGCTCTCCATTGTTTTAGTGGCTTGGGAAGGTGCCAATGTCATAGCTCCATTTCCATGAACCTGTTGGCTTGTTGTTTGGCTTGTCTCTGCCCCTAACGGGCGTCGATCGAATGCTCGAAAGCTTCCTGATACTACATACACTCGGCACAAACTGATCTCATGCCTTAACTGCATACAACAAAGAAATGATCAATTGATTAGAACTTCCAAAATGAAATTTGCAAAATTTTCGTTTGTGAATTCATCCCTTCAAATGAGATTTCCATTGCAATTTCTTCTTTTGTTAATTCATCATTGTAAGTCAATTTTATTGTAATGGTAACAGGGCAGGATTAGGTTGGTTTGTCCTGGTGTCGTTCCTTATTAGGACAGGAGCATAATAGTATTAAAATAATTTGTCACTTTTAAGAAGGAGACCATACCTATAGGAGAGAAATGATATAGCATATGAAAAAAATTAATAAGGAGAATTAAAATATTTGCTCAATGGGACAATGTATATGAGGTTGGAGGTGGTACAAATTATGATAGCGTTTGGTAAAATTTTTTAAATATGATTTGAGAATAGGAATTGTATTTTGAATTTGTGAGTTTTGGAATTATGATTTGAGTGTAGAAAATTTGTTTGGTGAATGAGTTTTGAATTGAAAGGAAAATTTTTGATGTGACATATGATATTTGATACAAAAATTTACAACTCATGACCAAACACGAAACTCAAAATTCTATTAAAGCTTATAAAAAATTTTAAAAAATTCAAAAATTATTTTTTGTTGAATATATAAAAATTAACATGTGTCAATTGCAAAAAAAAAAAAAAAAAAAAAATTGCACTATTCCGGTCATCCGGTGGGACAACTGGTTAGTCCAAATTTTCCTGCCTTCAACCGAGTTTTTAAAAGAGAACGTGAAATTAATTTTTAAAAACTATAAACAAACAACACATGAGAATTAATAACTGGAGCTAAAGTTCCAAAACTAAAATAACAGAGCCTATATAATTGTATTTCTCATATTGAAAGTTAATAGTTTAAAAATGAGTCTACCAATGACTCATTATATTTTTTTAACTATTCTTTAAACTCAGTTAAGACTTATGTTCAATAATTATTATAAAAAATAAAATAAAAAATCATATGTTTGGTTGAAATTTTTTTTTTTAAAAAAATATATAAAATGTGAATAAAATATACACATTTTATTTAATTTTACATATTTTTTTTCTCTATCTATTTTTTTTTTAAAAATAGCGTTTAAATTAGCCAACAAAGAGCCCCTGTGATTAAAAATAAATAAAAATACTTATGAATATAGAATCAAGAGAGTAATCATGCACCTTCTTTGGGACAGCAGAACCAAATGGGGAGGGAGCTTCTGCTTCAATGGCTCTGTACTCATGCATCTTCCATTTGGTTTTTTTACCAGTTGGAGATTTGCCTTTGTAAAACACCATTGTCTTCTTCACTCCAATCTCTCTGTTATCCGAAGAGTATACATAACTGGGAGAACCGGTGGCCTTCCAGTAACCGGTTGCCGTGGTTCGGTTCGGCCTCCCTCCCCTGGCTTCCCTCTCTTGCCTTGGAGTGAAGAAAAACCACTGCTCTGTATCTCCACGGCACAGCTCTCCTGAAACCTCTGCATCAAACAAATCACCATCAGTTTCTTCAACAAATAAATAAAAACAGAGTCTAACAATAAAAAATACGTGGATCGTATTTGTTCTAGATACGATTTAGATTATGTCTTGTTTTGAAAAATTAGTTAAAAAATGATTTTTTTGATTATTTTTAAAAAATATAAAAAAATAAATAAAAAAATAAGTGATTTAAAATAGATTAAAAGCAAAAAGTGACTTTTTAGTAATAGTCCAAGGAAGTAATATGTTGAATTTACACCATACGGTTGACAGAGTAAAATAATAAAGTGTGAATTTGTTTTTTTTTGCAATTTTAATTGTACTAATATTATCATTAAATATTTTGATATTCGTGTCAATTTAATTTAATTGATCATTTTTATTTATAAATTAAATTAAAATCAAAAGATATAATTGTCCATTCACTCTCCTCAACGAGATTGAGGGGTTGAATTCTTTTTTCAATGGACTACATTACTCTTGACTTCTTTCTAATTTCTTAAATCAATATTATCAATTAGATTAAATTGATATGATATAAATATTTTATGGGCACAATTAATATAATTAAAACTATAAAAACAAAATTAACACAAAAAAATAAATTATACCACATGTATAATTTGTCCAAAATAAAAATTAAGAGTTACACACAAATATAACACAAAGTTGCAAGAGAAGAGGATGGACACAAATATAACACTAAATTTAAGGTTGTTTTGAAAAGTTGATTAAAAATTAATTTTTTGATAAAAAAAATAAAAATATGATGTGATTCAAAAAAAATCAAAAAAATTAAAAAATTAATTTTTAATCAACTTGTCAAAATGATTCAAAGTTTCAAGAGAAAAGAGGACGGATTCCAATGTGTGCATTATATATGTGGATCCCACCTCTTAATGACTTGGATCCTTTTTTTTTCTTACCCCCTAAATCCCCTCTTCATCTGATTGGTTATTTTTTTTTTTTTGTTTTTTATTCCTTCTCCTCCAATCACCACCCGCCACGTGTCTGTGGGGATGGTGGGGGTGGTGATTGGAGGGGGTCTCAATCATCACTCTATGAAATAAATTTTTTGTGTTTTTATTTTCAACAATATTAGAAATATTTATACATTTACTAACAATCTTACTAACACATTCACAAATTTTAATAAGATCAATCATCACTTGATACGAATCCCACGTCAACTTGTGAATGTGTTAATAAAATTATGAGTATCAGTAACATTTTTCTTTTATTTTTGTGCAAGTAACAGAAAAGAAGATAGACGGACTTGGAAGGTGCCACGGCTCGTGCTCGTAAATGTTGACAACGGGAATGGCACGGTTCAAGTCGGGTCTGTTTCCTTCAAGCTTGTTGTGCAGATAGAACGAAACCAGCTCTTCCTCAGTTGGGTAGAATCGATACCCCGGTGGAATTTCAACCATTGCTTCTTCTTCTTCTTCTTCCTGTTTGTTAATTATAGAGAATGTGTTCAAGCTTTATGGGTTTGTTTGGTATGAAACTTCTATTTATAAGGCTCTACTAAAATGTGTTTGTTTTGTTCGATAAAGATAGAGAGAGTATTTAATGAGTTAAACCAGATATGTTTTGAGGGGAGTTTCCACGCGGTTTGTGCAAAGAATAGTGCTATACTGTTTGTCCAATGGCGTTTTATTTGTTTTGCTTCTTTTTATATTAAAATAAAATAATTAATTACATTATCTCTTTGTTATTTTGAACCAGTCAGCCTTCCTATGTTCCCCTGCGGTGCCAACCCAGGCTTCCTCACCTGCACTCTTATTTTATCACATTTGTATATTATTATTTTGTCATCTTACTGAAGTGTTAAAGATTTATTAATTTTGGATTTACAATTCACCGACAGTGAGGGAGTTAAGCCATTTATCATTGGGAGTTTAGCAAATCAAAAATAAATACCTAACATAACATATTATTATAGGCCTCAAAGTATTTTCCTATTGACTATATTTATATTTATATCTGTCTACAACTATGGTATTTTTTTAAGATAAAAGATTAAATCATAGGAGTGAGATTTGCGGGACAAAACCCGACTTCTTTCTAATTGAAGAGAATGCCATATATATATATATATATATTTATACACACATATATATGAGATGTGAGTTATCATAGGTGTAACATTGACCCTTTTAATACTTTGTTTGGTTAGGAAATTTAGAAAAAAAATTTGAAAAGATAAAGGGAAAAATTATGTGAAATTAAGGAAAATATAAGTATATTTTATTTACACTTCACCTATCGTTTATATTTCTTTTTTCAAATCTCTCCTTAAACCTTCTAACCAAACACAGCGTAAGTAAATATCTCAATTGCCCTTTTTGGAGAAATGTCTATGTTTTACTCTTAACAAATTTTATATAAAAAATACGTTCACAATGACGTAGAAGTAATATTTTTAAAAATTATAATTGATAACACTGGTGATTTGATTCATATAAAACAAATCACCACTTATAATTTTAGAAATTATATTTCACTCCTTGAAATTTTTAATTTCATAAGAAATGACATATTTTATTAATAAATCATCAAGTCAATTAACAGTTTTAATGATGTCATAAATATATTTTAATTAATAATTCAGATAATTTTATTATTGTATAAGAGAACAGTTAGAAGTTTCATTTTTTTAGTTAATATTGTTAAATAAAAAAATTTAACAAGAAAATATTTATAATTTTTTAAATTAAAAGAAACAATTCATATTTTAAATAAAATTTAATGATGTATTTAAAAAAAAATTAATTATTATTTATTTTTTGGACTTTTTCCATATCAGTTCATGTTATACCTAAGTTTCCAACCACGTGCACTGAATTGGGTCCCGGCAAGCAAGCTAGAGTCGCTTTCGTTCAGTTTGAGGTTTGAGATAATTGGAAATATTTATTTTCAGTTTTTTTTAGTTGATTTTTTGGAATTGAAATTTTTTTAATTTAAGATTAAAAAATAAGTTTGGATTTATTTTTTTTTAATTTTTTTTGAATTTTATAAAAAATAATAATTATTATAATTTAAATGTGACATTTTATCTTATTAATTTTTTAGTTAATTTTAACTTTTAGTACCTATTTTATCTTTAAAATTTATAAAATATCAAAATATTTATAATTTTAATATATATATATTTTTAAAAAAAATTTTAATACATTTTTCATATTTATAATTTTAATATATTCTCTTACACTTTTTTCAATAAGAATGACTGCACGTACACGATAGGGTAATTGAATATCTTAATTTTTATTTATTTATTCACTTATATGCATATTGTTAATACGTGGTTAATTAGTCTGCTCCTCACAATTCACTACAACAAAAAGTGTTTTAGTGACGAAAATTAATGACAAAAAAAAGGGTTGATTTGACATAGACTATATAATTCATCTTTTTATTTATTTTTTTTTCTATCACATCACCTCTCTACTTTTTTATACATTTTTTCGTAAAAAGATAAAAAATACATTTTTTTAAGACACCCCAAACCAACCCTAAATTTTATCACGAAAGACGTACTTTTTAGTGAAGAAAATAATTTTTTGTCTCCAAATATATCATTTTTAGAGGCAAAAATAAAATTTCGTCACTAATCTGCATACATAATAAAAAAATCAGGTGACGAAATTATTTTTCGTCATTATTCATATTTTTTTTGTCACTAAAGATTTTCCCGCTAATTTTTCGGATGGTGCCAAAATTTTCAGACTTTTGATGAGGAAAAAATTGGTCACCAATAATAAAATTATTAGTGACGAATATATTTTCGTCACCAAAAATTTTTAATATTTTAATATTATTTAGTGAGAAAACTATTTTCGTGGCTAATAATTTTATCTTTCAGTGAGAAAATAATTTTGCCACCAAATAAATGGTTTAGTTGCTAAAGGTTTTTAGAGAGAAATGAATATATTGGCGCCTTAGATATATTAGTTCTTCTTCTCACTCACAGATTTGACCACCAAACCTCATCCTACATGACCTCACCTCCCCCTTTCTCTTCTCTCACTCCTCACGCCTCTGGCCTCTGTGTCTCTTCTCTCTCACGCCTCATGCCTTACGCATCTGCCCTCCTCCACTACAACAAAACTGACTTTTTATGGCACCACATCAACGACATACAACAAATGCACGCCGTAGTTTCTCACTTTTACGACTTGCTTTTTTTGCACGTCGTAAATACTTTTTCAACCACGGCGTGCCTATTGCGTAGGCCGTGAATGGTAATAACGATAATTTTTTTATGGCTTGCAATGCACGCCGTAAATAATAAAACTTTCTACGACGTGCATATGGCGTGTCGTTAATACATCAATTATATGCAACACACATACACCAGCCGTGAAAAGTGAATACTTTTCACGGCACACACAACGCTCGCCGTTAAAAGTATTGCACTTTTTACGACGCACACATCGCCTACCGTTAAAAGTATTGTCATTTTACGGCGCACAATGTATGTCGTGAATTGTATGATAAAATAAAAATTAAAAAAAAAATGCCAAAATGAAATTTGAGGAGCCAATCACAAAATATATATATATATATATATTAGAATTTTTTTCCCCCTAAAATAACTATTTTGCCTTCCTCTAATCAGAATGGAACATCACAAGAGTTTCAATCTCTCTCTCTCTCTCTCTCTGTGATAATGATGAAGGCCGAATCAATTGCTAGGGTTACCAGGTCATCTCATCTCATCTCTTCGGTTGTGTATCATAAATTATTAAGAACATAATAGTAATTATTTTGTAATAGAATTATTATTTATTGATTAAAATCATAAAATTTCTTAAATTTATTTTTTCATTCAAAATATTAATTAAACTTTAATAAAGGTAAAATTACAAACATAATAAATAATAAAACTTAAAACAAAAAATATAAATTAAAACCAATTTTTACTACAAAATTTTGTCCCAAATTCAAATTTCTTCTCAATATTTGAAACACAATTGTTGTGGTGAGGTATGACTGAAACACAATTGCCATTGTGAGGAATGAAAAAAAAAACCAAAACAAAAGGGAAAAATAGAGAAAATCTATCAGGGAGATGTGTTCAAGAGAGAAGACGAAGAAGAGAAAGAGGGAAGAGAGACCATGAAGAGAGATGAGCAACAACCATTGTTTCGCTCGTGATGGCCATTGCGTCACTAGAGCAGTTCTTTGGAGCAGCCCCGTTCGTCTTCGCTTCTCCCTCCGGTATTCCCTTCTCCTTCCAATCAACGAAGACCCGCAAACAAAGCAAACGGAGCCGTCTCACCTCTCCCTCCGACCGGAGCTCTCGTACCTTCCCTCCCACCGCCCAATTTTAGGTGCATGTTCAGATACTAGGGTTTTGAATTTTGATTTGAGACTTTTCAATTTGAAAATTGGGGTTTAAGGTTTTTCAATTTCAAAATTTGGGGCTTTTCAATTTGGAGTTTAGTGGTTAACTTGGATGCTTGTTCTGAGTGTTTAAATGGGACTTAATAATGTCAATTTACCAAGTCTTCTTTTTAGTATAAATTCTTGGCATATATTGATTTTGTATTGGTCAAACAACTCAGTTCCGTAAGAAGATTCTAGTTCTATAATGCAAAACTTTGTGCATTATGTTGTAAGATTACATGTGTGGTGGTCTTTTTTTGGTGTAATGTTAAATAAATAAATAAATTTAGGGATGGTGTACTGTAATTCTTTGTTTGGTAACTTGATTGTTAGAATAAAAGCCATTAAGGCATATGGGTTGGCTTTGTGTGGTGGGATAGATAACATGCTAAGAACGTTCCTTATTTTGGTACTGGTGTTTCCATTGGCAGGATAAGCATTCCATATCCCTTTCAATGGGGACCACCTTCGTTTGATGCGGGTAAAGCCTTTGCCATGATGGTTACCTCATTTGTTGCTCTTGTAGAGGTTTGTTTCTTCTTTTGATGGAATAAACTGATGACCGAAGTGCATTCTCATTGCCATTGTTATGTTGATATACTTTTTGATGACTTATTGGTGGGGAAACTCGACCATTTTTGGTCAAAGGTTTGAAAACTTTGAGGATATGGAATTTTTTTTTCTTGCAGGATGTTACGATTCTTATTCCAATGCTGTCATCCTTGTCCAAAACTGAGGTACATTTCACATTTTTCTTCCTTCTATGTGTAGTTTTTGTTAGTCATAATTGTTATATTTTCTCATATATAAACAAGGTATTAAGCTTTTTCTTAAAATACCCAGACTCATTAAAGTGATGGTACAGCGCTATGACAAAGCTCTAAGAGGCCAAATGGAATGCATTGTCAACTTGTCTAGGCCTGGTGCCTTATCCCCATTAGTTTTCCAAGACTTCCATGACTTCGTTTTCAGTAAACTGCCTCTCCAAGCCAAGTCATCAAGACGAGGCCTTTTATGATTGGTCTCAGCCTAAAGCCTCTCATAAAACTGAATCACTTCGCTCTTAATCCCCTCCCTCCTCTCCACCCCATTAATTTCTAAACTTTTACATAGTTTTGTGTCCTATGAGTGTTAGTCAATTTGTGAAAGAACTGAATATTCCCGTCATCAATCCCTTGCCTTCTGCCTCCATCTAATTTCTTCCATATGAACAATGTGTCCCAACTCCATTTTGACTTGTTCCCTTCCTACTGATTATTTAAAAACGTATGTCTCAATACCAATACAAAGGGATAGGGAGAAAACTGATATAGTGAATGACTTTCCATGACTGGTATAGTCAAAAATTATAGTGAATGACTAGCTTCAAGGTAAAATGTTTTAATATGTTGATTGTCAAAAATTAAGTTTCTTCTTAATAATGTTATCTTTTCTTGTTTTTATTGGTGTTTCAATTGTGTAGGAACAATCACTAGCTAATGTGAATAATATGATGCAAATGAAGACAAAACATCGATGTGAATCAAAATCAATCCTGGTCAGGGTATACAGCTCGGTGCGTTCTACTAATTTATTTTATTGGATTTGTAGGCTTTGTTAGTATATTATGTTTCTATGTTAATTTAGTATAAATTTCTTAATCAACTAGGGTAGAATAAAAAAAAAATTGACATTTAGGGGCGAAAGGTCAAGGGAAAATAGTGAAATATGCATGTAAAGATCCGAGAAACATCACAAACACCTTGAGACGGAGCAACATAAGTTGTGAAAACGTACGAAAGAAGCGCGTGGCTCCCAATTTGAAAACTTCTTTGAAATTTGCACTATTTCAACACGTAGGCATGAAACTAAGTAAAAAAATAAACTTTTCCAACGCATAAGCTTGAAAATAGGCCATCGGAGGGCTAAATCGTGTAACAGCCACGAAACGGCCTCGGGTAACACCTCAAACACCTCGGGAAGGATCAAAGTAAGTTGTAGAAACTTACAGAACTAGTACGGGACTCCCGGTTCGAAAACTAAGTCCAAAACTGCACTTTTTCACACTTAAGCTTCAAAATAGGCCATCGGAGGGCTAAATCGTGTAACAGCCACGAGACGGCCTAGGTAACACCTCAAACACTTCGGAAGGGACCAATGTGAGTTGTGGAAACTTGTGGAACTAGCACGGGACTTTCAGTTTGAAAACTAAGTCCAAAAATGCACTTTTTCACACTTAAGCTTGAAAATAGGTCATCGGAGGCCAAAATCGTGCAACAGCCACGAGGCGGCCCGGGGAACACCTCAAACACCTCGGGAGGGACCAATGTGAGTTCTGAAAACATACAGAACTAGCACGGGACTCCCGGTTTGAAAACTAAGTCAAAAAATGCATTTTATCACAAAGCTTGAAAATAGGCATTCGAGGGCCAAAATCATGTAACAGCCACGAAACGGCTCGGGAAACACCTCAAACACCTTGGGATGAACCAATGTGAGTTGTGAAAACTTACGGAACTAGCATGTTACTCCCAGTTTGAAAACTAAGTTTAAAAATGTACTTTTTCTTACTTAAGCTTCAAAAATAGGCCATTGGAAGCCAAAATCGTGCAACAGCCACAAAACGGCCCAGGAAACACCTCAAACACCTCGGGAGGGACCAATGTGAGTTGTGGAAACTTACGGAACTAACACAGGACTCCCGGTTCAAAAACTAAGTCCAAAAATGCACTTTTTCACACTTAAGCTTCAAAATAGGCCACCGGAGGCCAAAATCGTGCAACAACCACGAGACGGCCCAGGAAACACCTCAAACACCTCGGGAGGGACCAATGTGAGTTGTAGAAACTAACGGAACTAGCACGGGACTCCCGGCTTGAAAACTAAATCTAAAAATGCACTTTTTCACACTTAAACTTTAAAAATAGGCCATTGGAGGCCAAAATCGTGCAACAGTCACGAGACGGCCCGGGGAACACCTCAAACACCTCGAGATGGACCAATGTGAGTTGTGAAAACTTACAGAACTAGTATGGGACTCCCGGTTTGAAAACTAAGTCCAAAATTGTACTTTTTCACACTTAAGCTTCAAAATAGGCCACAAGAGGCTAAAATCGTGCAACAGCCATGAGACGTCCCGGGGAACACCTCAAACACCTCGGGAGGGACCAATGTGAGTTGTGGAAACTAACGGAACTAGCACGGGACTCCCGGTTTGAAAATTAAATCTAAAAATGCACTTTTTCACACTTAAGCTTCAAAAATAGGCCATCGGAGGTCAAAATTGTGCAACAGCCACTAAACGGCCCGGGAAACACCTCAAACACCTCGGGAGGGACCAATGTGAGTTGTGAAAAATTACGGAACTAGCACGGGACTCCCAGTTTGAAAACTAAGTCTAAAAATATATTTTTTTACACTTAAGCTTGAAAATAGGCATTCGGGAGCCAAAATCGTGCAATAGCCACGAGAAGGCCCGGGAAACACCTCAAATACCTCGGGAGGGACCAATACGAGTTGTGAAAACTTACAGAACTAGCACGGGACTCCCGGTTTAAAAACCAATTCGAAAAATGCATGTTAAATTGTATATTTTATGGATAAGATAATAATTGTCTAACTGACATTTTATTTTATTTTTTTGTGTTTCATTTTTTTGTAGATTCAAGATTTGATATGGACGTGTTTGGTAATTTGGAGGGCAGATGGTAGCTCATTTTGTGTTTTTGTTCATATTACCTTACATGTATTTTGGTTGTGTTGTAAATTTTATATTTTTGTTGGTATTACGGGGCATGTTTGGTAATCCGCCCTTGATATTTTATTTTTGTTGATATTAGTAGATATGTTTTTTGTTGGATATTAGGAGATGTGTTTGGTAATTTGCATACGGTTGATATTATATTTTTATGGATATTAGTAGATGTTTTTTTGTGAATATTAGGAGACATGCTTATTATCCGTATGCAGTTCATATTGTATTTTTGTGGATAGTGCTAAAATTTGATTGTGATGTTTATGAAAATGAACAAATTTTTGTATTGATTTGTAATAGATATTTTATTGAACAAACTGTTGAAATGCGTAGGGAATTGTTACTGAAAAGAAAAAATTTTGGAAGAAAATAGTACCCCTATTTTCAAAATTTTTAATTTTTATTGGTGATGAAATAAAAAATGTCGCTATTAGTTTTTAAAAAACATGACGAATAATTTTGTCACTAATGATATAGTACGAAACAAATAATTTCATCACATTTGCTGAATATTTCGTCGCTAAATTGAAATATTTGGTGACAAAATATTTTTTGTCATTGAATAATTTTCTTTTTTGCTCATTTTAGTGACGAATTTTTTTGTCACCTTAATCCATATCATTGGTGAGGAAAACTTTCGTCACTAAAATATATTTGGTGATGAAATATTTCGTCGCAAAAAACAATTAAAATAAAATATTATTTAGTTTTGGTGACGAAATTGATGTTTTAGAGGTTGAAAAATTCAACATTTGGAGACGAAATATTTCGTCGCCAAAAATGAAAAATAGGCTACAAAACTGGTTTTTGTCACCAGGTACTTTTAGTGACGACGTATAGGCCACGAACGTGGTGACAAATTTTTTTTGTCACAGATCACTTTAGTGATGAAATTTTGATATTTGGAGACAAAATCAGTCTGTCACCAAAGACCTTTTTTATAGTAGTAATTTGAATATTCAAATTCATATATTTTGAATATTTGTCTAACAAATTTTGGGCTCCTAACTTTGAGCACTCACTTTACGATCCACTCACAATATTATTTTTTAGAATGGTTAAATAAGTATATTTTTTGATTTTTATAAAAAATATATAAAAAAATAAAAAATGTAATGTCACATAAAAAAAAAAGGAAAAAAAAAAGAAAATGTGCTAATATAGCACTTTCCAAGCAATCCTCTCATTATAAACTCTACATACTAGAAAAAAAAAAACATTCATCAAAATGAAAAGTATGATATATATTTAAAAATTGATATGATGTGGGTCATAACTAAAATATATTTTCATAAAATATGACATGTTTTCAAAATTTATTAAACATAATTTCACATCGCCAATTTAAGTCATTCATACTTAATTAATATAATGTAAAAGTCTTTCCACTCATTGTCAATTAATTTGGAGTTAAATATTTTAATATGGTATGAGAATTGGATCTTGGGTGACCTCTCACCCCTTGTGGTAGTTTCCGCTCGAGTCTGTTTCTCTCATCATCTCTTTCTCTCAATCGGATCTCTCAATCACCTTCACGTACTATCGCATTGCATGTGAGGGGAAGTGTGTTAGACATAATTTCACATCGTCAATCTAAACTACCAAAACTTTATTAATACAATGTAAGAGTCTCTCTATTTATTGTCAATTAATTTTGAATTAGATGTTTTAACAAAATTTTAATCAACTTATATTTCTAAGTTTTTGGATGGATGAATACGCTAACCTATATTTCTGAAGCTACCGTTGTTTTTCAACACTAAAGCTATATTTGAATGACAATGATCTTGAGAAATATGATAACGTGATTTTAGATTTCATAATTCCTGCGTTTAGAATGGATTGAAATGATAAAGTAATACATTTCTGGAGCAAGTTAACTATTTAAAAAAATAAAATAAATTAATCCACAATATTTTTAATTTTATTATCATTTTTTCATTAAACCCTGTTGCTAAGATGGTTGGAACTAATTTAGTTTACTAAAAGATAAAATAAACTAAAAAATCAACAATACAAAATATTACATCAAAACTATAATTATTTTATTTTTTCTTTTACAAAATTATAAAAAAAAGTTAAAAGTTAATCTCAAACAAAACATTTTTAATCAAGCAAAAATATTTTAAAAAATTAAAAAAAAAAATCTGACTAAAAAAGTTGCTCCAAACGAATTAGATAGTCAAGTAAGTCAAGAAAGATATGAAAGTGAAAAAATAAATAGTACAGTGGCAACTTGGTGAGTAAGAATAGTACAGTGGCAACTTGGTGAGTAAGACAGGAGTGAGGAGCCCATAGAGCCAGCACGGCATATCAATTTATACGCGGATTGGAAGCGGTAAACTCAACAATTCCACATAACTCCGCGTATTATTAAATAATAATAAAATTAGAAAAAATAAAATTTATTTATATTTTTAAGGAAAATAAGTGAGAGCACTAATTAGTGCTACCACTAATGATGTGGCAGTGGGTCCCATCATGAATGATTTGATATTTTTGCCTTGGTGTTGTATTTTTTTTCTTTTTTTATTGAGTGCCATGTCATTAGTGATCTTTTTAGAGCTCCAAAATTAGTGGTCTCTATCATTGTTGTATTTTTAATTCTCGAAATATGCTTTTTTGTTTCATTTTAATTTGTAATATTTTATTTGTGTTAATTTAATTATTATAGTTTGTGTTTTGTTCCTATCTAACCAAAAAAAAAAAGAGTGACAAAATTATAAATACATTTTCCATGCTCATAGAATGTGTTTTTCTCAGATCTAAGAGAAAAATTACTTTTTATTTTATTTTACTTTTTGATATTTTGATTGTCTCAATTTAATTATCAATTTATATAATTTATGTTTCGTTGTTGTTTTTGTATAAATTTGAACAATAATACCCCCCTCCTCCCACGATAAAATTTGAACCAAAAAATTGTTTAAGTTATCAATGAAATTGACATAATTAAAATATCATAGATTAAAATAATATAATTTTGGTGACCAGTAGTAGTGTATTTAAACCCACACCCAAAAAGGCATGTACTTACTGAAAGATAATCTAACAATGGCAACGGATCGAAGTTCCCGTAAGGGTGTTTAATCATGCAGAAGAATACAATCTGAAAGAGAAAAAATCTGAAGGAAATCCAAGTGTCTTTAAACCTATGCATTGTTCATATATATATAGCATATGGTGGCTGTCAATTAATGGTTGCAACTTATGGAATTCTAACTCAATGATCACCATGTTTCTAAAACATTGTGACTTTTCATTCAAATCTTTAAACTTCCTACTTCCAGAACATCTTCCTGCGGGAAGATTGAATTACCATATAAGGATTTGATTTGGCGTGAGAGGATCCACCATATTATGGTGTGATCACCTCTCAAACCTTCATCTCCCACTTGATCACATTATAATATTGGTGATAAAACCTGAGTTAGGCATGTTTACCTTGGTACCAAAATTTTGCCTCATGCCAACTTTCATCTATGAAATTACCTCATAGATCAATGTCTGATTGTAACTTGGCCATATGTGCGCACGTTTTTGCCACCAATCTGACCGCACTCGTATGAATGTGTTCTCCTACTGACAACACATTCCAGATGACTTCAATTCACTATATAACAAGTGAACGACATCAATTTTTAGTGATGGGTTCATAGTCCATACCCAATCACCATTGACGACTTTAGCCGTACACATTTTTTATGTGTCGACCTACACTGAAATTATTGTTAAGTACTTCCTTTAAGTCTCATTCCTGAAAGTTTTCCTTAACACACCTTATCAATGACTTTTTGCTAATCAAGCAGACAATATCATTTAGTTTGCACGTTGCATATTATGGACTTTACATCTCATGCTAACTATGATATCCGTACCTTGCCAGTTCCTCTATCTTGTTACCTGACCAAACACATGTTTCCATGCAAGATAGAGTCGCAAAACATCAATTATCTAGGCGTCCCCAGAGTCATCCAACTATGCTCTTATATAAGTAGCTAAATCACCTAGCTAGGTATTTTTCAATCCCATATTAGCTATATACTCTCTGAATTTTTCCAGAGACAACCCTTTGGTCATAGGGTCAGCCACTATCTCTTCTGAGGGTATATAATTGACTTTAATTTCACCTCTCTCCACTATGTCCTGAATATAGTGGTAACTCACATCAATATGTTTTCCCTTAGAGCTATTTGCTCCACTTTTTATTAATGAGATGGTAGACTGATTATCACAAAACATATAAATAGACAAACATACATAAATGCCCTCATACTCGTACCTATCTCAGAATTTGAATCGGGTAAAACAATATCACTTTTTGTTTTCTTTTCCTCCCACTATTAGGTTGTTCTATGAGAACTAGTGGTTATTGTGGCAAATAGAGGAGAGAAGAATCCTAAGATACCTCGAAGAGCAATGCAATGTGTTCAATTGGAGTAACAAGATCACTAGATTCAAGAAAAATAGCATCTTTATTTTCTATTAATCTACATTTGGGATGGTAAAAACGATAACCACTCCTATTTTCGACATATCCAATAAATTTGCATTCCCAAGTTTTACTTCCCAATTTATCCCTTAAAGGTTTGGAAATAAGTACGCGTGCTATGCATTCCCAAACTTTGAAATTTAGAACATTAGGTTTAGTACCATTCCAGCCAAAATTAAAAAAACCCAAAATTAATCTCATAGTCGACTTAGACTGAAACTGGAACATAAATCAATTTTCTATGGATGTGGGGTATATAAAACACATCATAGAGTACTGTGAAAAATCCATTAATAGAGAATTTACAGTTGTCAATGTCCAAAACATCACTGTAAGAGAAAAACAAAAACAAAAACAAAAACAAAAACAAAATAGAAAACAAAAACAAAAACAAAAACAAAAACAAAAACAAAAACAAAAACAAAAACAAAAACAAAAACAAAAACAAAAACAAAAACAAAAACAAAAACAAAAACAAAAACAAAAACAAAAACAAAAACAAAAACAAAAACAAAAACAAAAACAAAAACAAAAACAAAAACAAAAACAAAAACAA